TTTCTTGCTCTCTCTCCCCTCTGTAAATCTGCCTTTCCAATAAAAAAAATAAATAAATCTTAAAACACACACAAAGGGCCCTGCACGGTGGCCTAACAGCTAAAGCCATCACCTTGAACACGCCCGGATCCCATATGGGCGCCGGTTCTAATCCCGGCAGCTCCACTTCCCATCTAGCTCCCTGCCTGTAGCCTGAGAAGGCAGTCAAGGACGGCCCAAAGCCTTGCGACCGTGCACCCGCGTGGGAGACCTGGAGGAAGTTCCTGGCTCCTGGCTTAGGATCGGTGCAGCACCAGCTGTTCCAGTCACTTGGGGAGTGAATCATCTTCCTCTCTGTATATCTGACTTTGCAATAAAAATAAATAAATCTTTAAAAAAAAAATCCAGGTGTAGGCAACTGCCTAGATTATCTTGTACCTAGGCAAGTGTTACACTGCCAGGAGAAAAGCAGCTAATACCTGATAGGCATCATGGGCCTGGCAAATGCCAAATTTGTGTTAACTATATCAATGTGCCAACCTAGTCGCCTGTTCTATTTTTTTTTAATATGTGGGGGGTAGATGCCTGCACACCAATAGACAGGGTCAGGGGACCCGCATGACAGCATGCATGGGCCCTGGGTGGTTAGGCAGGCAGGGTCCCAGGCTGGCACAACACACCACTGGAGGACCAAGCCTGGGGATCTGTGTGCTTATGTGGATGACTCAGGGAAGCATGAGTCTGGAGATGTGTGGGAGGGAGGACTGCTGAGGGAGGATGTGACTTCTGGGGGACTTCCACCAACCAGGCTACTACACTTGCAGGAAAACGAGGGGGCTGAGACTGGGTGGTTTAGGTGAAGGAAACCAAAGGACATTTTCAGGCTGGGTTGGTTGGTATTGACCACCTGCCTGGCAGGACTCGACCACCTGAGAGTGTTGGGGCTGGAGGTGGACCATGTTAGGCTAGGCCATGACACCAGTTCACGAGAGAAGGGGGATTAGGCCTGGCCACAGCATCCACCAGCACACAAAGGTCGACACTTAGGAGCAGACTATGCTGGGTAAGGGCCTAACACTTGCTGGCATGCATGAGATCTGGGTCTGAGAGTGGGCCGGGTGGAACCTGAGGAATTCCCCTGGTAGACTATTACTACCACTCATGAGCATGTGAGTCAGGACTGGGTATTGGTCAGGCCAGCCAGTGCTGTTTCATTTGTCAGCAGGTACGGTATGTGGGTTGGCTCTGGGGCTGGGTGGGTGGGGGTTTGTTCAGACCACACAGGGCCAGGCCAAACCATACCACACTGGCACACATAGCAGCCAGGCTGGTGTGCAGACCATGCCGGGCTAGGCTACGCGACCTAACCTACCAGTTTGCACAAAAGCCAGTGATGGGGGCAGGCTGGGCAGGGCTAGGACTGAGGGCAGGCAAGGCCAGGCCAGGCTGCAGCATCTGAAGGCAAAGGCCAAGCTAGGTAATGGGTTATACCAGGCTGGGTCAGCAACCACTGGCACATGCAAGATCTGCAGCTGGGAATGAGCCTGGTCGGGGAACTAAGGGGACGCTCTGACTAGGATGAGGTTCCCACTGGTGAGCATGAGAGCTGGAATGGGGGCAGTGAACTGGGTGGACATGGCTGCAACATCCCTCGGCATGGGTGTGGACTGGGCCTGAAGTGTGGCAGACTGTGCTAGGCTCTAGCACCCAGTGGTGCTTGTAAGAGCCAGAATGGGCGTAGGACAGGCTGGGCTAGGTCTCAGCACCCACTGAACCATGAGAGAACAGGGTCAGGGAGTGGACCAGGCAGGGCTGGGCTGTAGCACCCAATAACAAGAGCTGGAATGGGTTTGAGCTGGTTGGGCAAGGCCACTGTACCTGCCGGGACAGGAAGTGGGGCCAAGAACTCACCAGTGTGTGTGAGATCTGCAACTGGGAAGTAACCTGACAGAGGAAGTTCAGGGAACTCCTCTGTCAGGCTGCAGTCCCTGCAGGTGAGCACAATTACCAATGGTGGAAGTAGCCCAGACTGAGCCAGGTTACATGTGGGTAACCTGCTGGCATACATGTGGGTAACCTGCTGGCATACATGTGGGTCAGGTCTGGGTGCAGGTCAGGCTGGACCAGTTCATAGCACTCACTTATCTGGCTATATAAGAATCAAGACAGGGTCCAGGACAGGCCAGCTCGGACCACACCATTAGGACTGGTGTTCACATTAAGGTTGAGATTAGTGGCTGGCTGGGTGGGCTAGGCTACAACACCCACCCACATGAGCTAGAACTGGGCACAAGTTGGGCTGAGTCAGGCTGTAGCACTTACTAGTGAACGTCAAGGTGAGGTGAGCCATGCAAGTCTGAGCTGCAGTGCCCACCAGCACACATCAGCCCACTCCCACCATTGTGTGTGTAGGTGGATGTGGGTGAAGGACTGATCCAGACCCTGCACTGACAAGCACACACAGGAGTCAGGTTGGGGTCATCTGGGGCAAACTTTCTTTGGAGAACCCCACCTCCTCCACTAGATCATTGGACTCAGAACTCCAACCTCAGTGAAAATCACAGGATCGTGGAGTGCATGTGTCAGAACTGGGTCTCCACAGTTGCTGACGCATGTGCAATGGATGGCATGCCCAGATGCTCATGGAGGACATGACAACCAGTTCTTTGTGCCCTACAGAGGACGTCTAATACCATAGATGGCAGAACAAATTGGACTGCTCTCCTGGCCAGTCTTTGAGAGGGCGTATCTGGGCAAATGGAGACTCTAAGGTGGACTATGCCAGCCAATAAGCTTTGAAAGGATTTCTTCAACCTTGGAGCAACAAAATCAACAGCATCTCAGAACTATCAATTACTTCAGTAATTAATTCAGTACCCTCAGAACATGCTCTGCACTGGGAACCTGGGATGACATTGGTGGTCATCCCCCGTCTCCAGGTACTGACGCGGTTGAGATGCTGGAAGCAGCCCTCTCTCCTCTCTCCACTTTCCCCAGATACAGGAAGAAAAAAGGAGATTGGAGTCAATTGTCTCATCCATTTTCCCCCATTCTTTGGCTCTCTCCACCCTAACTATGTAAACATCATCAAAATTAAAATAAATTATTATTAAAATAATTATAATAAAGAATGATTTAGAAATTTTTTTTTAAAGTTTCCTCACCAGCTCAAGGTCAAAGCCATAGATGATACAGCGCTTCCCAAGTTTCTGTCCTTTCCCTCCCCAGGACCCAGGCTCAAAGAGAAGCCCAGACGTGGGGGTCCTCGGCAGAGCGGATAGGGAGACTGCCATTCTGCTCCAGCTGTCCCAGAAGTGGTCATGTCTCCCTCCATTGCAGCCCCAGCTCACTGCAATCCCAGGGCCTCAAAGTATTACCGCCCCCCCCCCCCCCCCCAGACAACGGCAGGGAAGGGAGGCCAGGAAATACCTAAAACAACATCAGAGCCCCAGAGGTGTTGATCACAGAACTGGCTTGCTCCCCCTTCACCACCCACCCTAGCTCTGCCTCAGCTGATACATGGACCGCCCCCCCCCCACCTACGTCTCAGCCAAGGGTAAGTTAAGTCCAACGCAAGGGTAGGGGACTGCTAAGCAGGGCACTGTAGCCTGACCTGGGGAGTGGACTGAACCAGTTCTTCCTCCAGGGAATCCCAGCCGGGGAAATATTGGGAGGTGAGCCGCAGCCAACAGGTGCAAAGCAAGGTGGATGTGCAGAAGTTGCCACTAGTCCAGGCTGCTCCAAGAGGGAAGGGCTGTCGGCAGCCAAGCCAGGCTTTCAAGGCACAACCGAGGTCAGGGGCCCACAGGGAAGACAGTGGACGCGGAGTCATCTCAGCGAGAGCTTCCAGCAGCTGCTGGACAGCTTCGGGCTGTTGCCTTGGGGGGTGGGCGCTGTCCAGCACACTTGTGGCATATGGACACTGCTGCACGCCTGTGGCGTCGTGGGTCTCCAAGGGCGCCATCAGACGCCCTCAGGAGCTGCGGATCTTGTGGTTTTACTCTGAAGACAGAGTAGACAGCGACGGCCAACAGGCCAGGACCCCGATGGAGATGCACCACCAGAGAGGCACAGGCTCACAGCTTCCCCATCGAGTGGACTCCTAGACTGCGTTCGAATGAGCTTGAGAAGGGGCAGCTCTTTCCTGCAAGGTCCCCCGACTCACCGGCCCCGACAGTCTCCACAGGTTCACTGCCTTCTGGGAGCCAATTGCTTCCTGATGCGCCTGCGCATTCCCCGAGGCCCTGCCCGCCCAATTCCTACAGGCCAATCCCGCCTTCCTCAGAAATGCTTCACTCCCGCCGACCAATGACATTCCAGAGGCAATCAAGCCCCGCCTCAGCCACGCCCACGCACAGCCCCAGTCTCGAATTGGTGATCAGCACCGGTGGGGGGCACTGAGGGCGGCGGCCCTGTCCTGCACGAGGCAGGCCTGGTCCCACTCATGGGCGGACCCCATCCTCTCCAGCCCAGCCCAGGAGCTGGGCAGTCCAGGAGGGCTGGGCAACATCCTCCGTGCTGCCACCTAGTGGTGAGAAGCAAGGATCAGGCTCGAGGCCAGGAAGGACTTAACCCTGAGACCACGTCCCGCCACATGCCACCCAGACTCTAGGCATCGGGACCAGAAGACTTTAGAGTCAGCCATAAAAAAGCCAGGGCAGGTGCCACCGGGCCCGCTGGCCCCGGCTCGCTGATTCTCTATATAAAATCGCACTGCTTTCTGACCACAGGTCTGGCCTCTGGGGCTTCTGCCTGCCAGTCTGCTCCTTCCCTTCCATCACTGGCTCCTGTTCACCTCTTCAGGGCCAGGTGCTCTCAGCGGTCCATCCCCAGGGAAAAGCCGGGAGCCAGCTGTGCCGGGCCCTTCCCGTGGGACAGCACAAGTCCCAGCCAGGTGGCTGTAGTCACAGCACCCAGAGTCAGCCAGGCTGGACGTGGCCCCTGAGTGGTGATGGGGTGGCAGGGATCCTGGGCCAGCTCGCCAGGAACACACATGCACAGGGGTCTCCAAGCTCGCAATCTTGTTATTTTTGCTTTTAATTTTTTACAAAACCATTTGTCCCAACCAAATAGGACAATTTGACCCCTGTCCCGGGGCCTCTGCAGCCTCAAGGGGGTGGGGAGAACCCCACAAATGAGAAGCTGCCAACCCCAGAACCATCTGCCTCTTGCTCAGGGGTCAGAGGACAGACAGGGCCTCTCTGGAGGCTCTGTGTGGATGCCACCTCTCCCCAAAGCTGCTGGGAGCGAAGGCCAGGCCCGGGTTCCTGGAGCTCCTGGTGTCTGCAAAAGGAGAGCGCAAAGCAGGTGTGAGGAGCGGAAGGAGGGCTGAGGGGTAGGGACGGGCAGGGCAGGCCCACCCTCTCTCACCAAGATGGTACGTTATCCAACCACCACGGTGATGACAATGATGACTACCAGGATGAGGACAGTGACGGACACACAGATGCCAATCATGACTTTCTTCTGTGGGAGACAAGGTGGTCAGGGAAGGCCCCTTGGGGCTCAGAAGCTGGGCGCAGGGCTGGGGCACTCACCTTCCTCGCCTTCTTCTGGTTCTCCAGTGCGACCTTCACGTGCTCCTGCCCACGCTCCACGTAATCCGCAGAGCTCAGGATGTTCTTCTCAATGCGGTTGATCATCTCGCCCTGCCCGTGGAAGGAGGCGGCTTAAGAGGGAGGGAGGCCCAGGCGTGGGCGTCCCCTGTGCCTTGGTCCTTCCTCCACCCCCACCTCCAGTGACTGACGGACAATCCTAGTGGTCAAATCAAAGCAGAAACTGGCCCAACAAAGACAGAGGCAGCTGCAGATGCCAGAAAAGTTCAGACTCTGTGGAGCGTTTCCTGAATCCCTTCTCCCATGAGCTCCAACACCCCCTGGTCCCTTATCCCACACTAAGCTCTCTAAATTGATTTCAGAAAAGCTGTGGGGGGCCCAGCGCAGCGGCCTAGCAGCTAGAGTTCTCACCTTGAACACGCCGGGATCCAATATGGGCACCAGTTCTAATCCCAGCATCCCCGCTTCCCATCCAGCTCCCTGCTTCTAGCTTAGGAAAGCAGTTGAGGATGGCCCAAAGCCTGGGGACTCTGCACCCACATGGGAGACCCAGAAGAAGCTCCTGGCTCCTAGCTTAGGATAGGCACAGCTCTGGTCATTGCAGTCATTTTGGAGTGAATCATCAGACAGAAGATCTTCCTCTCTGTCTCTCCTCCTCTATATATATGCCTGACTTTGCAATGTAAATAAATAAAATAAATCTTAAAAAAAAAAAAGGAGGGGAATGGTGTAGTGGCTCACAGGCTAATCTCCTGCCTACCAGTGCCAGCTTGCCATATGGACACTAGCTCTAGTTGCAGCTGCTCCTCTTCCAATCCAGTTCCCTGCTTATGCACTGGGAGTGCGGTGACAGATGGCCCTGCACCCTCATGGGAGACCCGGAACAAGCTCCTGGCTTCAGACTGGCACAACTCCAACTGTTTTGGGCATGTGGAGTGAGCCAGAAGATGAAAGATCTCTCTCCTTTTTTCTCTATAAATGCCTTTCAAATAAATAATTTTTTAAAAATTAAAAAAAAAAGGTTGGGACCAGTGTGATGGCTAAATCCTTGCCTTGTATGTGCTGAGATCCCATATAAGTGCCAGTTCGTGTCCCGGTTGCTCAAATTCACTTCCAACTCCCTGCCTGTGGCCTGGGAAAGCAGTAGAGGATGGCCCAAAGCCTTGGGACCCTGAGCCCACATGAGAGACCCAAAAGAAGCTTCTGGCTTCTGACCAGCTCAGCTCTGGTCATTAAGGTCACTTGGGGAATGAGCCAGCAGATGGAAGATCTTTCTTTCTGCTCTCTCCTTCTTCCTGTAAATCTGCCTTTCCACTAAAAATAAAATAAATCATTTTTTATTGGAAAGGCAGATATATAGAGAGAAGGAGAGACAGAGAGGAAGATCTTCTGTTTGATGATTTGCTCCCAAGTGTTGCAACAGCCAGAGCTGCAGAGTCAATCCGAAGCCAGAAGCCAGGAGCTTCTTTTGGGTCTCCCATGCGGGTGCAGAGTCCCAAGGCTTTGGGCCATCCTCGACTGCTTTCCCAGGTCACAGGCAGGGAGCTGGATGGGAAGTGGGGATGCTGGGATTAGAACTGGTGCCCATATGGGATCCCGGGGCGTTCAAGGCAAGGACTTTAACCTCTCTGCTATTGCAGAGAGAACCCACTGCCCCAAGCAGGCACAGGTGTTTAAGGAGACACTCCAGGGTTCTGAGACGTCAAGTGGGCTCTTTCCCCGGGGGGCAGTGGAGAGGGAGCAAGGCCTCAGGCTGGGGAGGTGGGAAGCTGTTTATAAAGGAGTGGGGTAGTCAGGGCCACCTGGCAGGGCAACGCTGAGCCCGGCTAGTATTGACATACCAGAAGGGGTTTCCAAGCACCAGGTCACTTCCGGGAGCTGTCCTGGGGCGGAGGTGGGGCACCCACCTGCATCTCCACCTCGGTCGCCAGAAAGGTGAAGATCTCATGAAGCTCCCGGATGCTGCGTTCCAGCTGCTGGATCTCACTGTGCCGGGCCGAGATCTCATTGAGGGCCTGTCGCGTCACCTGCGTGTCCTTCAGTATCTGAGAGGTGAGCCAAGGTGAGAGGTCAGGCCTCCGGGGGCAGCCGAGTGACCCCACGCGTGCCGGTGCATTCCCGCTGCATTGGCGGGGAAGGGGCTCTGGTCACTCACATTGGACACAAACACCTCACTCTGCCCGCTGTCCAGCATCTGCTCCAGCTCCTCGTCAGACACGGCTCCCGCATTGGCTGTGAGGGAGAAGGCCAGGCTCAGAGCGGGCCTGGGGTCCCCTGAGCCAGAGGGCCCAGCACCCCGACTCACTGATCTTCAGCTGCCGCCGAATCCGCTCCACGTTCTTCTCCCGGTACTCGGACTGCATTGAATTGCACTTGTTGATGAGCTCCACAAATTGCTGGGACAGGATCCCATGCTGAGGACGGAGAACATGGGCTGGGTACCACCAGGAGGCTCGAGGACCCCACAGTGGGCACGCAGCAGGAGCTGCTAGAGGTGTACACTGCCTTTACCACCTTGGGGTGGCCTTGACAGACTCCCCTATTTCTATCAGAGTAAAAGGCCTCTGGCGACATGCTCCTGTCCCTGTCGTCTGACTCTGCATCTTCCACCATCACCTTCCTCCTGCGCCTCAGCACTCGGTGCTCCTTCTGGGTGTTCCCTAACTTCTGTTTTAAAGTCACTTTCAGAAAGAGGCTTCTCACTCCTCGTCTAAATTGCCCTCTGCCTCCCTCAGCACTCCCAATCCCTCTGCCTGCCCTCACTCCCTTTCTCGCAACTCTTATTAAACTCTCACTGATTCTCCCTGCCAGATCTTCAGCTCACTGCAGTCCCTAAATCACTCATAAAAGTTCTGGTAAGAGGCTGCCACTGTGGCGTGGTGGGTTGACCTGCCACACGCAGCACTGAAATCCCATCTGGGTGCTGGTTCAAACCCCGACTGCTCCACTTCTGATCCAGTTCCTTGTTGATGTGGCTGGGAGAGCAGCAGAGGATTGCTCAAGTCCTTGGGCACCTGAACCCACATGGGAAACCCGAAAGAAGCTCCTAGCTCCGGGTTTCAGACTGACTCAGCCTCTGGCCACTGCTGCCATTTGGGGAGTAAGCCAGTGGACAGAAAATCTCTCTCTGCCTCTCTTTCTCTGTAATTCTGCCTTGCAAATAAACAAATAGTTTTTAAAATAAATAAAGGTCCAGCGTCCAACATTCACTGGATGTATCATAGCTGAACACCAGCTCAGCTGCTTACAAGACAGCAGGTGCATGTGGCGTGTGTCTGCAGGTCACCAGGCAGCCTCTACAGGACAGGTCGTCCTGGGCCCACAACCTCTCACATCACTGACCACTACAGGCTGCCCCTTCCACATCCTGCTCCTTCTCAAAGGGCTTAACAACACTCTTTCCTCTTGGAGCCTGTGCCTGGGAGACGCACCTGCTCTCCTGCAAAAAGCTGTCCTGTGTCAAGGTAACCAAACAACTCCACTTCGGGCTATGGCCTTGCTGCTCGTGATTCAACTTGCTTGAACCTTGACCCTGAAAAACCCTAAGCTGCTGCTGCTCCCTGGGCACCAGGGAGGGGCAGTCAGATGATCTCCAAACCCCTTACTAAGATGTCAGCCTAAGGAACTTCCTCTTCCTGAATTGTGCCCATGGCTGAGGACATCCCAATATGTCGCACAGGCAGGAAACCTGCCAGGCTTTAGCACTGCCTGCCCCCCTTCCCTGAGGAGCCACCAACTCCGACAGGAGGTCCATCTGTGGTCCCTACTAAACTCCAGCTCTCCTTCCTGGTGCCTGGGAAACCTGTCTCCCATAGCCAAGGCCAGGGCACGTCTGGGGACCTGACGCAGCCACTCTTCACAGAGCGGAGAACGCAGCGTCCAGTAACAGCCTGGGCAGTAGAGGTCCTGGCTCCCTGACCTGAAGTGAGATCTTTTTTTGCTGCCTATTTGCCCACCTGGAACATCATCAGGCTGGCCTGGGAGGTCTTTAAGGGCCTTTGCCTCAGACATCTGTCATCTAATGATTTATGGAACACACACTAAAACGGCCTAGTTCTGGGAGAAACCAACATACCTGGGTTTTTCTCATCCGTGTGTTGACCGAGTTACAGTTCTCGTCAGCTTCTTCCTTCGTGGGCTCGATGGCTGTGGGGAGATGTAAGAGTGGTGGATGGGTGGGATGGCCACTCTGATTTGTGATTTCTGAGAACTGGGGACCAGGACATAGCGTGGGTCCACATCACAGCCACACAATAAGGAGGGGCCTGTCTTCATTGGACTTTCAAGGGAAACATAGTTTATTAAAAAATGACTGATTCCAACCTTCTGACAGGAAAAAGCTTATCTGTCTTTGAATCATATCTGTGGATTCCCACAGGTATGCAGAAGGCCCAAAGGTGCACTCCAGGCAGCCAGCAAGAACTACGGGCCCAAAGGGTTTCATCGTAAATAAAGGAGCTAAAAGGCATGTGCTCTGGAATACGGAGTAGAAGCCATTGAAGGAGTTTAAACCCAGGCCTGCTGTGTGACCTACATACATCACTTGCCTCTCTGAGCTAAATACTCCCCATTTACCCTGGGAGGATAGAGGGAGGTATCCCTCTGCCTTCCTAGGTGCTCACCCTTCAGCTGTGTGCGAATCTCCCTGCCCAGCTGTTTGATCTCTTCACGAAGGTTCTGCAGGTCCTGTTTCATGCCTGATTGAGAGAAGACAATGAATTCCAGGAGGCATCCCTACCTCCACAAACCACCCCAGCCACCACCTGCATGGGACTACAATCCCCACAATCCCCCGGGGGGGAGCATGCGCCCTAACCCGGGTCTTTCACTCACTTTCCTCGGGAAGGGGCGTGGCCAGGATGGTGACCTGCTGCTTCTCCAACTCCCGGACTTTATTCTCCAGCTTGACTATAGTCTGCCGAATAGTCCGGACCTGAGGAGAGCGACGGAGAGGGGCTGAAAGAGATATGGGGCACTCCAGACCGCGCTGCTCCTTAGGGCTCCTGTGCCCCCCGCCACTCTTCATCAATCCAGGACGGGACCCCCCAGCCCCTTACCTTCTGGAAGAATTCTTCGTCCGGGCTCCCCAGCCGGGCCGTGCCCGGGTGCAGCACCAGCGCGACCCGCTCCCTGTCCTCATCATCCGAACTGTCATCCCCCTGCCAAGGCCAGAGTCGATTGGCACCACTTCCTTGCACAGGCTCTCGTCTCCAAAGATCCACAGGCTTCCGGGACTTTCCTTCCTGGCCATTAGCCACCCCCTCCCTACTCCGAAACCCAGGAGTCCTGCATTCCAGACCGTCTGTCCAGCCCCAGCCCTGCTGCCCCGGCTCCTCACCTGCCTTAGCTCGTGGGTCCTGTCTCGCATGGCGGCCCGAGCGCCTCTTCCCGGCGCCGGAGCCCCGGACGGCCTCTAGGGTTCTAAGTCTGGAATTCCCGTACCCCACTTACCCTGAGACACTGCCCTGCCCTCTCCCTGCTGAACCCCAACACCCCCACGAGCCGCCAGCAGCTCCACCCCATGCACCATCCACAGTCAATGGGAAGTAGCCGATCTCGGAGACCACCCCCCCAAAGTTCAACAGGTTGGAATTCCCTTTGCTTTCCCCCCCACCCCGCCCCGCTCCCTTAGCCTCGGCCCCGCCCCTCGGAGATGACTCCGGACATGCGCACAAAGTCGCGTCTCCTCTTCGCCGGAGGCAGAGGAGGAGCTCGGAAGCAACTCTGCCCCGAACGGAAGCGAATGCTGCCAGGCCGTGAAAGCCCGCCCCCGATTCCGGAACTGTCGCCTCTTTGAACGGAAATCTAGCTACCAAAAGGGGTGGGGGTGCGTCATGGGGACGTAATCTGAGAGACCCGCATCTCACATCACCCCATGAGGTGCCCCCGCCCCCGCCGGGCGCGCGTGGGCGCGCACACACACACACACACACACACACACACACACACCGTGTCACGTGACCGGCGCAGCCTCGCCGACCGCAGAACGTGGTGTTTGGACTGCCACACCACACCGTGTCGGGGACACCCCTCACGACGCCGTCGCCGGCATCCGAGGTAGACCCCCTGTGAGGTGGGGAGGGGACGCCGATGCCCCCCGCCAGGGGTCTTCTGAGTCCCCAGTGTGGCGAGAACCCCCTGGCTGAATTTTCCTCTCCTTTGGATCTGAGTGCGCGGGCAGACGGAAGACAGAATTCAGGGCTGTCGGCATCGTGAGACCTTGAAAATCGAAAGATACTGAGAGCGGACCTGGAGGCACGGAATCTGGGGGCGGGAAGTGACCTCACTCCCGCCGCAGCCTCTGACAGGTGGGCGGCCGGCGCCTGCCCCGGGCGCTGCAGTCCCACCGCCCTCACCGCCTCCGGGGGCGGCGCGGGGCCCGAGAAGGCTCCGGGGCCCTGAGTGCCCAGGTGAAGTCAGGCTGCGACTCCCCAGCGCCTGAATCAGTACCTCCCGCAAGCTCAGCCCTCCCTGAAATATGCAGTGGTCTCCCCATGCTCCCTCCTTAAAGCTTCAGGTTTTGTCCTTGTGACACTTCCCTAGCCGTGATCTTCCAGACATCCATTAGGACGCATACAGGTAGATCTCAGAGATTAAGATAAAATTTCCCTGCGCTTGTGGGATTTGCACTGCCCAAGGTCATTCAGGGAGTCCGGCGCAGCCAGGGAGTGCGTGTCAGGACTCGTGTTTCACAATAGCCCCTCTCCCGGTGCCCTGGTCAGCGAGCCTGTTACCGCAGCTGAACTGCCAGGAGCTTCAGGAGCGTCACTTCCCCTTGTCTCCTGCCCCGAGCTCTGTCTCCGAGTGGTACAGTCTCCCGAGCCAGCATGTGATCCTGACTGGTTCATTCAGTTTCTCTATTTGACATCTTGATCTGAACACTTGCGTCTTGGATAAGGTAAACATTGTGTGTTGCCAGGATCTCTTTGCTGTCTTCTCTCTCGGCCCCTCGATGGCTCATCGGGAGTTGTGCACATCTCTGTTCAGCTTCTCAGAGGGACGATGTTAATGGTTCCATTTGTGCTCTCTGACTGGAATCACAGGGCTTTGCAGTGGTGACTTGGGGTCACAAGAGAATGGAAGCCTTCTGGGGCGTGGAGGGGGATGGAGCTCCTTTGAAGAAACTGGAAGTGAGTCAGACTACCCATGTGATGTACTGATGCTGAGGTGACAGCAACTTAATCTGTTGTGCCACAATGCCAGCCAGATACTTTATAAATATGAGCTTGTTTAAGCCTCATCACACTTCGATGAGATAGGTACTCTCCCTGTCCTCCTAGAGGAAGATATTGAAGCAGAGTTACATGGTTTGCTCACCATTAATAGAGAAACCACAGACCCAGGCCTGGAGCCCAGAGCGGGGTGCTCTGAGCCAGGACTGTGACCCAAGGAAGTACCAGCTGGCAGAGTGGGAGGGGTGTGGGGGGAGGTTTCCTGGGCTCCACTTGCCCCCTGGGAATTCACTGCCACCTGTTGCTCCTCTGCGGGAGGAGGGTATCCACAGCCTGCTTAACAGAGAGCCTTTGGCCTGCCCCAGTGCAGGCCATTTCCAACACCTGCTGGCGGAACTGTGGGTCACCCCTCCTCCCGCTGTGTGCTTTGTCTCTGGAGCCAGAAAGAACCACAAATCCATGCCCCCCCCCACACACACACACACACAAGTCCCTGTTGAGGGCCTTGATTCACTTGTCAAAGCCATTTCTGGATGGTCATAGACATGGAACCCCCATGGCTCTGTCCTCATGACTGTTTCGATACTGAATTGACTACTTCCTGGAATTCCCTGGGACCTTCCCCTCTTCAAAGTCCATTTATGTTTATACCTGATGTCCTTTTGCTGGCTTCCAAATCCAGATCTCCAACCCCAAACTTTTCTTTTCCTATTTTTTTAAATCTTTTTCTTTTTCCATTTTTGTCCCTAGAGCTTCAGACCCCTAAATACACCTGCTCCTGATTTCCTCTTCTGGGGAGATCCTCAGGCAGTCAAAGGCCATCCCTACTGAAACTTCCTCGCCAGCTTTCTTATTATTTTGTTTTGTTTTAAGATCCATTTATTTTTATTGCAAAGTCAAATATACAGAAAGGAGGAGAGACAGAGAGGAAGATCTTCCATCTGATGGTTCGCTCCCTGCTTGTGGCCTAGGATTGACTCAGCTCCAGCCGTTGCAGCCACTTGGGGAATGAATCATCGGACAGAAGATCTGCCTTTCTGTCCCTCCTCTCTGTTTATCCGGCTTTCCAATAAAAATAAATATATTTTTTAAAAATTTCTTTCAAAAGATTTATTTTATTTGAGAGTGGTATGGCAGGAGAGAGAGAGAGATGTTGTGGATGTTGGTTTTTCCACCACTGGTCAATGACCAAATGACCCTAAAGGCCAGGACTGGGCAAAGCTGAAGCCTTGTGGCAGGAGATTTTTTTTTTTTTTTTAGATTTATTTTTATTATTTTTTATTGGAAAGGCGGATATACAGAGAGGAGATACAGAGAGGAAGATCTTCCATCCGATGATTCACTCCCCAAGTGAGCCGCAACGGGTCGATACTATGCCGATCCGAAGCCAGGAGCCTCTTCTGGGTCTCTCACACGGGTGCAGGGTCCCAAAGCTTTGGGCCGTCCTCGACTGCTTTCCCAGGCCACAGGCAGGGAGCTGGAAGGGAAGCCGGGCTGCCGGGATTAGAACCGGCGCCCATATGGGATCCCGGGCGTGCAAGGCGAGGACTTAACCACTTGCGCCACCGCGCTGGGCCCAGGAGATATTTTTTTTTAAGATTTATTTTATTTTATTGCGAAGTCCAATAAAAATAACATATTGTTTCTCCACTTTGAAAGGATGGCTGCGTGATTTTTCTGCTGGGTTTTACCTTCAATTGTTCAGGTGGCTACAGTCACTGACCGCTCCAGCAGGGCTGATGGTCCCGAGGAAGTCACAGTCCCTGCATCTGGAACGTCACTGGGATGGTTGAGTAATAGTAACCACATGCTCTTCCATTGAGACCTTGGGGTTCCAAGAGGGTGAGAGTTGAGTCTGCAGTGTTCTTTAGGTTCTGCTCAAATTTGCACTGTTGGCATATTTGTAAAAATTTACTGGGACTTGCCTCATGACCCAGTGGGTAAAGCCTGTAATGTTGGCAGCCCATACGCGCTCTGGTTCATGGGCACGCTGCTCTACATGCCACCCAACTCTCTGATAATGTGTCTGAGAAAAGCAGCAGAAGATGGCCCCATGTCTGAGCCCCTGCCACCCACATATCACCTGGGAGATCTGGCCGAAGCTCCTGGCTCCCAGCTGTGACTGGGCCTAGCACTGAGATCTCCTAGAACTCTGGTATTTACTTTCTAGATGGTTGCAACAGCTTGAGCAGAATCCATCTGAATTCAGAAGCCAAGAGTCTCTTCCGGGTCTCCCAAATGGGTGCAGGGACCCAAGGCTTTGGGCCGTTCTTGACTGCTTTGCTAGGCCACAAGCAGGGAGCTGGGTGGGAAGCAGGGCTGCTGGGGCACATACCAAGTGCTCATATGGGATCCTGGCACTTGAAAAGGGAGGATTAGCCAAGCCAATTGAGCCATCAAGCTGGACTTCACTGTTTCTCTAACTAATGACTAATTTAGGCGGTGGGGATCAGGGCAAAGAGCTTGACAGACTGATGGAGACAGAAGGGACCCTGCACCCGCGTGGGAGACCCTGAAGAGGCTCCTGGCTTCGGATCGGCATAGCATCGACCGTTGCGCTCACTTGGGGAGTGAATCATCGGACGGAAGATCTTCCTCTCTGTCTCTCCTCCTTGCTGTATATCTGCCTTTCCAATGAAAAAAATAGTAAAAATAAATCTTTAAAAAAATAAAAAAAATGCTTCATGGAGAAGTGATTTTATTAATCTACGCTATGGTCACCATCCATGCTTTCAGGATGACGTACTTTTTTTGAGAATACAGACTTTTTTTTCAGGTTTCAATTTTTTTATTATTATTATATTTTTGACAATCTTTTAAAGATTTATTTTTATTATTTTTTCATTGGAAAGGCGGATATACAGAGAGGAGAGACAGAGAGGAAGATCTTCCGTCCGATGATTCACTCCCCAAGTGAGCGCAACGGGCCGATGCTATGCCGATCCGAAGCCAGGAGCCTCTTGCGGGTCTCCCGCACGGGTGCAGGTTCCCAAAGCCTTGGGCCGTCCTCGACTGCTTTCCCAGGCCACAGGCAGGGAGCTGGAAGGGAAGCGGGGCCGCCGGGATTAGAACCGGCGCCCATATGGGATCCCGGGCGTGCAAGGCGAGGACCTTTTAACCACTTGCGCCACCGCACCGGGCCCTATTTTTGACAATCTTTACATAGTTAATTGGGGTAAAAAGTTTCAAGGGCCACAGAAAAGTGGGTAAGACTATTATTTCCATATTGTTTCCTTCATGTTTAAAGCGGGGTATTAAGGGAGAAGGCCCATCCAATTTCCCACCCTCCCCAGGTCCTGCATGTAGGCTATGCTCCAAGGTTTTTGCTCAAGTGGTTTTGATAGTTCACCAGTTATAAATTGCTGCCAATCTTGCCACTCCAAGCATTATGAGGTAGAACCAAAACCCTAGAGCTCCCCGGCCGGGTGGCCACCAGGCGGAGCCTGGCACTAAATGGCACACTGGCTGCCTGGGGACA